GAATGGCGCTTTATTCCGCCCTCTTCGCCCCATTTTGGAGGAATGTGGGAGGCCGGAGTAAAATCCATAAAGTACCATCTTCGTCGCATCGTAGGAACTCACACGCTAACGATTTCGGAATTAGAAACATTATTATGTCAAATCGAGGCATGCGTTAACTCGCGTCCTATCGCCGGTTTCTCAAACGACTGTGATGATTTGAGTTATTTGACCCCGGGTCATTTTTTAGTCGGTGCTCCACTTCTATCATTGCCTGAACCTTATATTCCTTCGGCCATTTCCACTAGTCTGAAGCGTTATCATCTCGTCCAACGCATGCGAGATCGCTTCTGGAAGGTGTGGCAATTAGATTATATAAACACTCTACAAAAGCGTTCTAAATGGCGATTAGCCCATCCGAATTTTAGGGTCGGAGACCTCGTCCTTATTAAGAATGACAACTTACCGCCGTCGCGTTGGGCATTAGGTAGAATTACCAAATGCATTCCTGGTAATGACGGATTAGTACGCGTCTGCGAAATAAAGAGCGCATCCTCGTCGTTTTTGCGTTCCATCCATAAATTGTGTCCTCTTCCGATTAATGAGATGAACGATAGTCCCACGGCGGGCGGGACTATCCCGATAACTAACATTAAGCGTTAACTCGTGTTAATTATCAATATACGCGTCTTTTGCATGGCGGACGGCAAATGCCTTATTATTATGTGTTTAGCTTCGCTTATGTCATAATTAATATAAACTATTTGTACAAGTAGATGTATAAGGATATTTCGCTTTAAATGAAAGCGAGGCGAGCGGAATGTTTGGATTTCGAAAATATTAGCCTTGGTTGGCCACGCAGATTGTAATTGTATTCGAAATACCGTTGTCGCAGCATATGTGTGTATTCAATAATAGTCTTCCCTCGTGTATATATTTGCGTTTCGCTATTAGGAGACCGCGTGATTGCCCACATAACGCCTCGTGATCGGGCTCGACTCCGTTGTTCGTTTTCGTGGCTGAGAGAGGGAGTCTAGCTGCCACTATCGAAGGAGCGTGTACGCTTCTCTCGAGCGCGTTCTACCGCATTACGGTAGTCATTTTGTAGTGCGTGGCTTGTGGAACGAATGAAGTAAATAAAGTGTACGAGATTGATATATTCGGACATTCATTCATCCACCCTTTCGTGCTTAATAATCGCGATTAGTCGTAGTAGTGATCTGCGCAGGTACTTCATCACGGACCAGGCAAATATCGGAACGCCATAGGCATCCCGCATTAGTGCGACTTATCGATGCCTTTTGAATTCTGCGTTCAACAATAATCGTTTGCGCAGTAGGCTCATGTTCGGAATCTTTTCGAACGCCGAGAACGAGTGTGCCGAATAGATTGACACCGATTATGATGTCGATCGGATCCGAACTCATGGGGTCACGATCGGCAAATTCAAGCCCTACGACGTGTTTCCACTTATATCGACTCAATCCGGTAAATATTTCGTTAGTGATCGCAGTATAAATGCGGTCATGGTATATGGTAGGCAGGTCCGTCGTGATGCGCTGGGGTAATCGTGATTTGGGCAGCGTGACGCACGACGGATTGCATTTCGCTAATGCCGATAATGCAAACGGAGCGATTAATTCTCGCAAGACGTAAGCGTTGAGCAAGCGATTCGGAAATAAACGTAGAGGCGGATCCCTGATCGAGGAGCGCACAAACGGTGATAAAACGGTTATGAGGCGAATAAACTCGTACGCGCGCTGTAGCAAACAAGATTTTGGATGTCGGCGCTACGATTTTCGACAATAAATACGTAGCGACGGCGGGCACTCTCGTTGGTACAGACGTCGACGATAGCTTAGCGTCGACAGGCTGAACGGAATGATCGAAATGCAATAACGTGTGATGCCATTTACTACACTGTCGACACGCGCGAGAATTTTTACAATCTTTCACGGAATGCTTCATATTGAAACAGTTTACATAGCGTTTCTGATTTTTAATGAATTCAAAACGTTGGGATGGAGTTTGCTTGAGAAAAATAGAACATTGATACAATAAATGGTTCGCTTTGCACAATGAGCATGAAAATGGAACGGTAGACGCGGTATGTAAGGCGAGAGTTTTCTTTTTGGAAGTCGTCTGTGCCTTTTCCGTTGTGTTCACAGGAGCAATCGCGTCGAACGCGCGAATGCGCGATGCAAGAAATTGATCAAATTCGCGATAACGCGGGTAATTTACTGTATCGCCGAGTTTAAGTTCCCAAGCTTTTCGCGATGATATATCGAGTTTTTGTGACACTAGAAAAACAAGAACAATCATCCCAATGTTCAGTCGCGGAACCGAGATTGCTCAGAGCTGTATTGCTTTGTTGGTTTGATCGTGAAGCATGCGAAGGTCGTTAGAAGTTTTTGTTGTAAGCGACGGTAAATTGAAAAGCGATTGTAATGAGGCGACGTTTATTATCATATCGAGAAACTAGAATATTTCACGCGGTAGCGAAATTATCATTGGTTATTGCAAGATGGTCTAACGTTACTTGCGTCCCCCTTTACACAGGAACACAGATAGTGCATGCGCTCGACGTTTGCTAGGCTATGATCATCATGGATTATCGATTTGAATTTATCGCGAAAGCTTACCCACTTGTCGAAACTCCCGTCGGCAGATTGATCTTCGGAAGATGCGACGATGACCGAAAAGAGTTATTGGGACTACTTATTTCATGTACAACGGAACGGGGTTCGCGGATCTCGTGACAGTCCAATACCTCAGCCATGTAGTCGGCAGCTTGGTGATAGTAGTCTTCACACGTCAGGAAGTAATTTTGGGTGAAGTACGCATGGGTTGCCTTCGACTTTTCGTCCGCAGCTAGCATGATTTTGCAATCCAGCTCTTGGCATCTGGCAAAAGTCTTCTTGAGGGTTGCGAGTCGTTGTCGCGTGAAGGCACGTGTCATCTTGGTCTGCCCAAGCTTCTTGACATTCGTGAGCGTGCAAGATATAAAGCACATCACCTTGTACGGAAAGCTCGCTCGCCAAGGCGGCGTGTAATAACAATGACTCTCTTGATTGTAATAAGTTAGATTTTATTATATAAAGTGTTGAATTAAGATTTGTTTGAAGCGGACGGTAAGCGATGCTCGTAGTAATAATATTGCGACAATTGATGCGTTCGGTTCGATGCGTGCACAGATATTTCATACTTGGTACGACGTTGAGTAATTTCTCGTTCGAAAGAATGTGTATTGCTAGCAGCAACGCGACCGGCAAATCTCGTTGGAAACGCCAGTAAGTCTCGCGCACTGAATGGTCTCGCGGTACGCGTATACCGATCACGTTATGTGATAGAAGGCACCGGTGATACGCGACGACAAGTCGATTGGTTCGCACTTAATATTCGCGAAGATGCGTTAAGAGCGAGGAGCGATATACGATGTACATTGATCGGGATCCGGTGGCGAACTCACTATTCTCACACGGAGCGTATGCACGATCGACAGTTTTCTGGATTTGCGCAAGGAGGGTCGCGTACCATTTGAGACGAACAGTGTGATTAGCATAGGATCGAGGTATGCTCGTGTTTTGATCGCTTGGTGTCATCGAGCTGTTTGCTTGCTCCGAGAATATGAAAAGATTATAACGATAATTCCGGAACAACATATTTCACGTAATCATTTACATCTAAATTTCAAATAATATTCTACTAAGTAATAATATTTTACTATATCGTAATATATTAATACTCTATTATTATAATATTCTGTTATATTCTTGCGCTTATTATTTTGGATTATACTAGATTCTATTATGATAATTTTTTACGTCTCTCTCACAATATTATAATACATTATCTTTCGATATTTACTCAATTTTGTTACAAAAAAAAAATATATATATATATACCATATACGTTATATACAATACATATACTTTATTATTCTTGATAACCTACTATCCATTCTTCACTTCGTCAATCAACCTAACATTACTTTGACTTTCATGCTTCATGACTATTACGTTAACATCGAGTCAACATTAACTAAATTACCTAAGCTTCAATTATTATCAAAAAGAGGCTCCGTAAGTTTTCGCTCGGTCTACGGACTCATTTTTGTCATCTCTAACTAAATATAATAATTGTAACCCTAATTTAAATTTGCCGGGACATTTTGCTTATTCATACTATCTCACTCTAGCTCAGCGTCCTCACCCAGACTATAGGGGTCTCAGGACGTAACAGTATTATAGGACGAGCGATATCGCATCGCAGGGGACGTTCAGTAGGACGACTTAGTTTAAAACAACGTCACCCTGTGAGGGAAGAAGAGAAGGGAGTACCAGCGAATAAGTTTTGGAGAAATAAATATTAACTAAACGTTTACGGAAATCTCAATTATTAAAATATTTTATTTTTTTCTAGGAAGAGCACGAATTGAACCGGAAAATAATGTTCCGCCTCCGCGTGACGTTTCTGTCATCGTAATTAGTAAGTATTTTACAAATAACCAAGAAATCTAGTTTATATAATATATATTATTATTATTATTATATTTTT